ATAAAAATCACAACCCCAACTGACCAATACCTTTCACTTTTTAAAAACAAAACGCAGGTGTGGAGGTGCACACCTTTAACTCCATAGCAGTCAGGAGGCTAAGGCAAATGGATCTCTGAGTATGAGGCCAGCCTGGTCTACAGAGGAAGTTACCCTGTCTCCAAACACAAGACAAAACAACAACAAAAGCTCTGTCTCTGTGTGTGTGTGTGTGTGTGTGTGCCTGTGTGTGTGTGTGCACATGCATGCATGTGTTATATACACATGTGCACTTGTGCCAAGGAATGCTCATGAAGGTCAGAGGACAATTTCCAGGAGTCAGGTCTCTCCTTCCACCTGAGCTCCGAGAACTGAACTCATGTCATCAAGCTTTTGAGCAAGCCCCTTGCCTGCTGAGCTATCTTGCTGGCCCTTATTTTACTCTTTGAGTCAGGGGCTCTCTTCTATAGCTCAAGCTGGCCTTGAAGTCACCTTCTTCCTACCTACAGATCCTAAATGCTAAGATCACAGGTATGTGTCACCATACCAACCTTCAAAGTCAGAGCTCTACACGGCCCAATTGTGTCAAAACGCTATGCCTGTGAGACAAAGGTACTCACAATGTTAAAGGAAGTGAGTTCAGAGTGTCATTTCCTGTCATTTTGTTCTGACGACTTCAGTAACACTTCTATTACACTATGTCTTCATGTATTATGAACTGCACTTCCAGAAGATTCTGTATTCACTAGCCCTGATGCTACAGTCCCTCCCCTAAAGGTTTCAGAAACAAAGTAAGATAAACCCAGTGCTTGTGGACCTTCGGAGCTTTGCTTTCCTCCAGGCTGAAAGCAAATAGTGTCGGCACCTACCTCTCCTGAAGACTCAGGTGACACAAGAAAGATCCTAAGCAGCACCTGGCAACTAGGGTAACACCTAATGTTTTGTTAATAATGACGGGGCTTCTACAATGAAGTTTGATTCAGCAAAGTTGTTCTGGATCTAAACAGTTCATAGCCACCCCCCATGGCAGGGTGGCCTCCCAGCATCCTCCATCAACCTCCAAAGACCACACAATCACCCAGACTGGCAGCTCAGTCCCCTCACGGATGGTTACTGTGGTTCCATAAATGACAGAGCCACAGACCCTTTTCAGTGTCTCAAGACTTCGTGTGAGTCATCTGTCCCCTGAGACACTGGGTCAGTACTGAGACACTCTGAGGGACACGAAAACATTTTACCCTCTTTCACCAGAGAGCCATACTTCCTGTCTCCGGACAGCACTAAGTCAGCCCTGCTTCAGGTCCTGCTGAGAGGGACTATGGTGAAGGTCTCTGGGAGGCCACGCCCCCTTCTCAGTAATGAGATGGGTGTACCGGGACTGTGTCTCACAAAAAAAGGCCAAGTTGCCCTGCACTGACTTATTCTAACTGTGTCCTGCCTCCCACAGAAAATGCTCTCCATGGCGAACTCCAAAGGGCACCTCACCTCCACCAAGTTCCTGTCAGCACACCCATGACCCAGAATCCCTCGGGAGTCTAGGCAGAAGTGCACTGGGGTTCTGTGGACCTTCGGTCTTTCTTTCTTCCTTTCTATAGCAAGCACTCAACACATCTTTCATAGTCTAGGGTTTACTCTCCCAGAAGTCCTCTAATGACAGCATTCATCTTATCATTTGCAATAATTTAATTCTAAATCCACTTAGGGCAGGGGAGATGGCTCAGCGATTCAAGTGTTTGCTAGGCAAGAGAGAGGACCTGAGTTCAAACGGAAGACACACCAAAGCTATAACCCCAGTGCTCTTAGGGCAGTGGGAGCTAAAGGAATGAGACACTCAGAGGCCCAAAGGCCAGCTGGTATGTGCACCTGCGAACAGACAGTTGCTGAGTACAGACCCCCAAATTTATCCTCTGGCCTCCCAAACACACCTATGATATGAACATGCCCACACTCACACATACACACACACACCACACATTCACACACACACATCACACATACACACCACACACATCCATCACACATACCACACACACACACACACCACACACACATATCATACACACACCACACTCACACACATACCACACATACACCACATACACACATCACACACACCACAAACACATACCACACTCACACACACCACACACACACACTCACACATATACACCACACACATACATCACACACACACACTCACACACATCACACTCACACACACCACACACACACACACACACAAACATTACAATAAAAATTAAACCTGTTAGGTGACAGATTTAGGGCCTGCCTCTTATAGGCCCTTCTGCCTATAAACACACATCCAGGAGTGCCCCACTAGTCCCAGAAGAAACTGCCCTCTAGTCCCAGGACAACAATAATCTAATTAATCACCCTCATTTAGAGCTAGGAAAATGTCACTGTGATATGATCTCCAGAATCAAATTTATACTCTTTAAAGGAGTGTAAAATGGACTCTCTACACTAGAAAAAGTTCCAGCAATTTCCTCTATACACTAAACACACCTCTTCTGTGACATGGATATTTATCCTTAAGAATGGGAACTATGTCCCTAAGAACTTGAGTACAAATGCACAAATATTCATAGCACTGTTTTTCACAATAACCAACAACTAACAAAAAATCCTGGCTATAACCCACGTATCCAGGAACAGGGAGATATGCAAACAAATTTCATCACACACACACACACACACACACACACACACACACACACACACACATACCTTCTGAACACAACTCGACAGTTACAAAATGGAATTACTGAGTGAAAAAGAAACTTTACTCAGTACTGTAGAAATCCGAGTATTTGTCATCCAGAGCACAGGCTAAACTAATCCATGATAAGACAGAGCAGAGGTTGCCACTGGAAAGTTAGGGCTGGAGCTGACTAGTGGCGACCATGAAGAAACCCAGGTTGATGGTATATTCCCTGTCTTGATAAGGTGCATACATATATCAAAACCATGTGCAGGCGTGTGTTACCCTAAGAACACATATTGAGCACTGATGAAATATAAGTTTGACATAGTTACAAGTGACTCTGCACTAAGACCGTGAGTTATTTTAAAAATACACACAGCACCACACGAGATAGACAGATGATGGCTAGATGTGCAATACAGTCAATAAGGCAAAATGTTACAAAGTCTACATGAGGATCTGGCCTCAAACTCAAATTTCTCCAGCCTCCTCTACCTTCTGAATTCTGAGATTACAGGAGAATGCTATTGTGCCCAGCTACATATTTGTATGGTCCCTGTTGCAACTTCACTAAATGGTAACTTTTGTTTGTCCCCTTTAGTGGGGGATGGCTGGCTGTGGTGGAGCAGATCCTAATTCCAGCACTCGGAAGAAGGATCACTGTAAGTCTGAGGCCATCCTGGTCTACACACTGAGCCATCCAGACCAGCCAGGGCTACATAGGGAGACCATGGTAAAGCATCCAGGGCCACCAAGCCATAGGACCACACAGCTTCGGCTCTTTTGTAAGTGGACCATGGAGGAGCACAGGTAGCTTTGCGGGAACTCCTGTTTCCCTACAAACAGGCCTATTTCCCTACAGACAAAGCAATTACTTGAAATCAAGCCAAAAATTCGTGTTCCAGATAGAAAGAAATCACTGACTTGTACCCCCAATTTATTCTATTTCAGTTCCTGCACCAAATCCATTAGCTGACTGCACAATCCACTTCATTTGCCCCTTGTCCATGATGTGAGAAGGACAAAGGACAAAACAAGCCGGTGTCGTGCCCCACAGATGCTGGCACAGGAAGGCTCCCAGCTCGGGGCTGGAATTTGCTCAGGCCTCATGAAACCCCTACAGATAGCAGAAGAGTGTGCCAGCTCACGCTGGGTTACACTGATTCACGCACCACCCCTGAGGGTGGCTCACTTGAACTTCCCCCTAATTCAGCTGACCCGAAGGTAAATTAGGAATATTGGGTTCAGCGGCTCTACCCATGAACTTGCAGGCCGCTCACATTACACCCGGGCCTCCTTCCTGGAAAAGGCTTATCCTGAGATGACACTCCATGGTAGGGCTTGGGAGACACCTGTTCTGACCGTTTGCCTGTATAGACAAGAAGGTGCTGCTGCTGTGCAGATGGGCAGCCCCTCACATACAGAGATCGGCGCCAGCCTCTTTAAAACACAAGAAACAGTTTTTGTTTGTAAGCCCCTAAGCAAACTCACTGACACCGTCCACAGCCCACAGGGGGCAGCTGAGAGCCTGCAGCCAAGAGGCAGCAGGGAGCAGGCGCGAGGCTAACCCTGCCCTTGCTCGATTCTGGCCTCCAAAGATAGCGGTGCCCAGCGCGGACCTGAAGCCCTTGGCTGACAGTCAGGCTTGCTGAAATACACACACCTCCTCCCGGCCCAGAAGCCATGCCCACCCTGATGTGCCCGTGCCTGGGAGTGTGTAAGGACAAGGCAAGAAAAATCCCTTTCAGACGTGGGGGTAACACCCGTTTCTGGTGCCAGAGACTCGACTCCCAGAATCTTCACCGAGTCTCCGCGCCTGGCCCGCCAGCTTTCCAGAGTCGCTCGCCTCTGCTCTGGGTCGAGCCCACCTCCCCGGGAGCACGTGGGTGGTGGTAGCTCCCATCTGCTCCGAGCCCGGTACCCACAGTCTCCGGTCCCAGCCCACCTGTAGCCTCCTAGCGTCCCTCCGCGTCCTCCCAGTAGTTCCCGCGACTGCGGAGCCCATGACCCCCAGCAGACGAACTGACCCTCTGTCTCCCCAGCGCACTCGCGTGCTTTATTTTATTTTGTTTCCCCCTCTTCACCAAAAAACAAAACCAAAACAGAAAAAAGAAAGTTGACCCAGAACCTGGCGTCCCATCGATCGATCCCCATCCCCATTAGACCTGGACCGGGGGCTCGCCTGGCAGTTCCAGAGTCCAGAGGTGCCATGAGGAGCTGTCGCCCTCTCACCAGGATCAGGAGCGCGGAACTGCGACCGAGGCCCTGCGCGCCACCTCGCCGCACGCCCACCTACCTCTTGGGACCAGCGGCGGCGACCGTGGCGCGGGCTCCCGGAGACAGCGTGCTGCGTCCCGGGATGAAAGTTTGTGCCATGCAGAGCAGGGCGGCGCGCGGACGACGGGGCCCCGGGGGTGGGGGCAGAGCGCGGGGCGCGGCCGCTCGCGCGTCGCGGGTCCCTCGGGCGCTGGCCGCGCGGGTTCCTCCCCGGAGCCAGTGGCCGCCGCGCTCCCGCTCGCTGCGCCCTGCGCCCTGCGCGCTCCGACTGCAGCCCCGCCGCCCCCACCCCACCCACCCTACCCCGCGCTGCCGCCGCCGCCGCCGCCGCGCGTCCGCCCGCTACACTTCCTCTTCCTCTGAACTCATGTGCAAAATATGCTGCGCTGCATCTTCTTGGGGAAGCCGAGCGGCCCCTGGCAGGCAGACGCGAGAGACCCGTCGGCCCCGTGCGCCGTCAGCGCTCTGCAACACCCCCCACACACACGCCCACCCCCACCCCCACCCCGGGCTCTGGAACCCGCTTTGGAGAGCGCCAGGATGCCAGCCAACATGATGGAAAGGCGGCGACTGCCATCAACATGCCGATGGCCAGGGTGGGGAGGAAAGCTGGAAAGAGGTCCAATCTCGACCCATTCCACAGGTGGGAATGTCCCCAAGCAGCGCACGTGCTGCTGGATTTATCTCTTGGCAAGTACTACTTGGGGAAAGAAATAGTGCCACTGGCCTCAGCCTCTCTTCCCTCCACCTTATCCAGGCATCCAAAGGGTTAAAGATCTTGAGGGGATTGGGTCATCTTAGCCTAACAAGATGGGTTCTTCGAAGAGAAAATTGCATACATCAAAGAGAAGATGTGAACTAGTGTCTCCATGTGGCCAGTAAAACGAAATAGGATGGCTGTGCAGGGCTTGAGGGCAGGGGCGCTAGAGACAAATGGTCAGGAGGGATTTCTGCTTTCTGCCCTGACTCCCCTGTGACTGGGGTGACTTCGGGCCTGTTCATTTGCCAAGCAGCCCTTCCTTGTGCATTATTAAATGGGAAATGCTTGGAAGCACTCTGTAACTCAGCTATTATCGTTATTATCATCATTACCATAAGGGGCTGAGATCTAATTGATTACCCTGTTCTGGTTGGGCAAAGAAGGGTCCTGAGGCAGTGGAGCCGTGCGCGTGCGGAGGAGGGCTGATCTGGGCCCTGTGTTTTAATGAGGTCCGTCTGGTGCTAATAACACCCGCCAGGGGGAGGAAGTACTGTCTTGCTTGCAGGGACCCCTCTTGTGAGAGCCTCTCTGGGATTTTCTTTCCTGGGGCCATCTGTCTTCTACTCCCCCCCCCCATGTATGTCCTTTTCCACCTTTTTCTCTCCACCCACCACTTCCTGGCATGTCTCCCCACAGCTGTCCACATTTTCCCATCCCCAGCTGCCCCAAAGCCAGAACCCCTAGCCTTGAAACCCAGGGTTACCCTTAGCGTTGAACGCTTGTTTGTAAAGTCAAAAGGAGGTCTTTATGCCAAAGATCTGCCTGAGACCTGAAAATTAGGGTTCTCATGGGCCAGAGCCCTGGGTGCCCACGACATAAGAAAAGCAGCACCAGCCAGGGGTCAACAGGAAGTCACGGGCACTGGAAATGGGGGACAGAAAGGAGAAATTATTTTTAAACAAATTCTTTCCACTTATAAGTTTTGTGTACGTGGCTTTATTTAGTATGTGGTTTTGGGTTTGGGTTTTTTTGTTTTGTAAACACTGGTCCTTGGGGTTAATAAGATATTCTGACATTTTCCCATTCTCCTCCACTCGGAGTGCCAACTCTGTGTATTTAAATGTCTTCAGTGAATTTCTTCCCTGCCTGGTTCTTCATTTGTTTAGTTTTAGTTTTGTTTTGTTTTCCTGGAACTCTTGACCTGTCTTTGTACACACCCTGATGCTTCCTACCTGGTGCACAGTATTCGATACACATGTATGTAATGAGCTGAGGCCTCCGCATCCAGCTCACGGAAAGCTCCATTCAGTGGCCTACATTCAACAATTATCGCCAGTGTCCCGATTCTCTTCCGCCTGATGCCTGATAAGCAGCAGAGCCTTGGGTTCACTCATGTCATACAGAAAGCAGCCTGGAGTGCTGTGGGCTGGCTAGTTAGGGCACAGACCCTGGGCAGCCGGGCCTTACCTCTAACTGACCTCATCTCCCCAGCCTCAACCCCAGAGATGCTGGAGCTGTATCCTGGTGGGTTACCTTGGCAACCTCACAGTGTCTTCTGTTAGAATGTCCTAGGGCTGCAGCTTTTAATTCTATCACAGCAGTCTCTTCGGGGGGCTGTATAATAGTGCTGGTTTTCTTACGCTCACACTTACTTCCCCTATGATTTCACACTAAGTACTTGTGAAGGGAGCCGAACACGAGAGAAAAACCAAGCTATTACTACACAACAGGTCACAGATGCTCCCTGATCTGGGCTCCTGCCTGTTGGAAGCTGAGAAAATGCAGGCCTGGGTTAATGGGAAAGCTGGTTTTCCTCACACCCATGCTAGGCCAGTCTAGGAAGGCCAGTGGAAACCCACCTCAGCTCAAAGGAAGGATCCTAGCTGAGGCGATTTCATCCTGGCCTTGATAACACCCCTCATTTGGTGATAATCCAGCCACAGGTACCAGCACCTGGAGCAATTTTGCTGCCCTCTAGCTATGCGGATCCCAAGACCTTCCAAGGCAGCCCCCTACCCTCCCCACCTTTCCCCACACAGCCCTCAAACCACAATTCCACCTGTTAGGCCCACCCTGTTCCTAACTTATCTCCAACCAACTCCACTTCCCATGGCTCTGAAGGCAGAAATGACAGCATGGCACGGAAGGTAGACCCAGCAAAAGCTGGGGAATGAAGGACGGTTGCCTCAACTGTTTATTCCTGAGACCTGGAAACCCAGGGCGTATGCCTACTCTGCCTCTGCGAATGGCATTCACGTGGGATGGCAGAAGTCGCCTATGACCAGTGCAGCCACGATGAGGGTGAGGTCTCCTTTAGCTGGTGCTCCATGGTCCATCGCTGCGGGAAGACAGCTCCGTGCATGGTGGCTGTGGTAGAGGCCCCGGGGCTGCGGTTACTCCTGTTCGCACTGGAACAGAGCACATTTCAATCAGTATGGCAACCTCAGAGTCTGTCTTGGGGAGTGAATATGAACCAGGGTGTGGGGTAGAGCGTTTCTGAGTTTCTATTTTTGCATATGTATTGATCTGCATGGGCCAGCAAATTCTGTCCAAAGTAGTCAAACCAATATTTTTAAAAAAGCCATCCATAGGTGTCAGCAATTAGAGGAAATGTCGAATGAGAGTCAAATATTCCATGCCCCCCGCAACCCACCCACATAGCACTAATTCCTGTCGTTCTCTCCTGAGTCTGCTCCTCATTTTATCCCTGAGTCCCCAGTCTGTGACAGGCCCTCCTGTGGCTGAGACAGAATCTGCTCTCTGGAGCAAAGAGTCACTAGAGACTGGATCTCGGAATATCGTCAAACTCTCTGCCATTTAAGTCTTGTTCCCCTCACACAGCCCGGGGAATAGCCTGGCTTTGCCAGTACCATCCATTTCCCAGAGATGTGAGAGGTACAGTTCCCTTTTTAGCCGGGTTGTTAGTATCTGAAGGGAGGGAGGATTTAGAGCAATTGTTCAGGAGACAAGTCCATCAAGGCCGGGAAGCCATGGTGAACGGGGCTTATTTACATCTGTGGGTGACTGGAAGCAGAGAGAAGGCCTGAAGCTCCATCTGATTACACATTTCAAGGCCCACCCAAGCCCACTCCTTCCACCTAGGCCCCACCCCTTAAAGTGCCAGCACCCCCATTACTATCAGCAGGAAACCAAGAAGCATGAGACATCTCACATCGAACCTCACAGTACATCGACGTTAAGAAATTATCTGTATATATCCTTTTCGTGCTTTAATAAGGATCAGGAGAAACAGATAGGCTGAGTAGATGTTTATTCAGGGAGAAATAACTTACAACTGAGACAGATGAACACCAGCAGGTTCCTGGTCCCAAGGATGCCTCCCTCCTGATGCTCTTCTGTCCCTGGGCTGCAAGCAAGAGAGAGCTCCAGGGTCCTCGCCCCACCCCCCACCTCTTCCCCCAGGTAACCAAAGCCCCTGTCCCCACCCCCAATGGGCGTGGTCAGTGCTACGGGTGCAGACAAAGTGAGCATCTCACTACACATCCTTCCATCATCTCCCCTCTCCAGCCCAATGTTTTTGGCTACACCTGTCATCAGTTTAGACATAGAGAAAAAAAAACATAGTTTTACAAGGCAGAATTAGCACACTAACAAAAACAACGTTCTTAGTTTTTGAGCTTCCAAAGACAACGTCTACATATAAAATGAAAAGGAAGGGAAAAAAGGAAATCAAACAGAACCATCACCCAGTGTCTTATCTCCACTCCTACACATTGTTACTGCCTGGGGGTCTGGATCAGGTCTGTTTCCTCTGCCAGTTAAAGAATTAGAAGGCTACAAAGGTAGCAGCAGGAAAAAAATCTCAGATGCGGCAGATAGAAACAACCGAACATTGAAGAGATTGAGGAAACACACACAGAAGGCCCCTCAGGAAGGCAAAGCCTTGGGGTTTTAAGGGTCTTTTGAGGGAGACTTCATTCACTAGTTCAGGGTTTGTACAAAGACTGGGAAACTGAGAGACCCATGACATTAGGTAAATGTGTGCTGGCCTTGAACTTGTCAGGACAGACCTGCCCACTGTAAAGGTCCACGAGGCCTTTGGCTCAAGCTGCCAGGCCTTACTTAGTCTCTAGGCAGGAGGGGAAGAGAACAGGCAGAAATTTCCCACCACTATTAACTAGCTGTGTTCTCTCTCCTCAGCTCCTCAGCTGTCTGACTACCAGGGAGCTGTCTAACACCTAGTCTTGCTTTCACTATCTTAGCCATAGACATACCTGCCATGAATCCATGAATGCCTTCAGAGGAGAAAGGGGAACTCAGAGAGGAAAGAGGGTATTTCAAAAGGGGGTTGGGGACAGCTCCAGGTCTGACTGGAGGCAAGATTGACAGTGCACAAGTCCTTGGGGTCTGCTCAGCACCACTGGTCTGCTCTGAGGACCT